TCAGAAGTTTCTGACTTTATAAAGAACACTTCCACAAAAATATCCTGCTGGCACCTGCAACTCAGTCTTCTAAAGGTGTTTCCAAATCTAACCAATACTCATCCAGCTTCCCCAAATCCAGAAACCTATTGGTATAGGACATATTGAACAGCTATCTTTTTAAATTTATTATTTTCTTTGTATTTCTAGTCATTTGTTTATTCTTTTATAAAAATATCATTATTTGTTTATTTTTATGGTGGTGCTGAGGTTCGAACTCAATGCCTCACATGAGCAAGGCAAGCTCTCTGCCACTAAGCCACAACCCCAGCCCAGTCATTTTCTATTTTGCTTTTTTGATTACCTTCAACCCCAAAAATCTTACAGTTGATACCTGACTTTTGAACCTCTCTCTTCTCCCAACCCATCCTTTACACTTGCTACCAGGATTATTCTTCTGAAATATCAATTGGTTTATATCATTCTACCCAGAAACCTTGATGACTTTCTACTGTCCACAATAGGAATGTACGACAAATTACATAGGTCATCTTAAGTTTCCTAGAAGTTACATTTTAAAAGTAACATGAAACTGATGCAGTAAATTTTATTATATTTGTTTTATACTCAACATAGTAAGATATTTTCCAATTTTTTGTTGGTGGTACTAAGTTTTTGGAATCCAGAGTGCATTTTATACCTAACAGCAAGCATATATCAGTCCACACCAGACATGCTTCACATTCAAATAGCTAGCAGCTCCCTGTTCAACAGTACAGGTCTATAGCATAAACTCTGAGGTTTTTGGACTGACATTCTAGGCTCTCTCCAACATCAGCCGCTGCCCTGCATTTTTCAGTGCCTACTGGCTTACTCATACCCTAGCCACACCTAGTTGCCTGCCATTCTTTGCTTCTCATTACTCTCCCTGCCTGTGGAAATCTGACCAACCCTCCAGGGCCTGCTGAATGCCACTTCTCATGGTGTCCTGATGGCCCTCACCACATTGTGTGTGTGTGTGGGGGGGGGTGCTGGAGATTAGAACCCAGGGCCTTGTGCATACAAGGCAGGCAGTCTACCAACTGAGTTATACCCCCAGTTTTCACTACTTATTCTTGACACTCCATGGCAGCATTTGTGGGAGCCATTAGTTTGGTTCCTGTGCAAGTAGTCAAGCACCCCACTAGGAGGGGAGCAGCTCAGGCAAGCTAGGTCTGTTTGCTCTTAGTGATATTCTTTTGCTGTTGGACAGGTGCTGTGCTGACATCTTTGGGATCTTAAGCAGTCTATCAACAGTTATTTTATATTGCCTTTGAAGTGTATTGTGAATGAAATTTCCTTTACATCTGATCATTTCTACTGTTTAAAAAATGTTCTTGCTCTTTGTGGACTAGAACTTTTGCTTATGCAACAGAGGACATGTTAATTTCTGGATAGAACTAACTGCCAAATACAGATAAAACTAGATTTCAAATGTATATGTGCTGTAGGTTATTCTGGCTTTCACCAGATTCTGATCCTGAATAGGATTCTTTCTATTATATTACTTGTTTTTTGTACGTAAATTGCAGATGTATACTAAGGCTTTTTTCCCCATATATATATATATTTTTTTTTTTTTAATTTTTTAAGTTGTAGTTGGACACAATCCCTTTATTTTATTTATTCATTTTTATGTGGTGCTGAGGATTGAACCCAGGGCTTTGCACATGCTAGACGAGTGCTCTACCACTGAACCACATCCTCAGCCCCTCTCCTGTATCTTTTTTGGAAAGTTTATATACTTTTTGAGTTTCTGTTCTCCTAAAGAGATTTAACCAGTGAATTTTTGCCTGGGATCCTTTGCCTGTGTAAAAAGCAAACAGGTGCCTGAAAGGTTGTGCTCTATTCTGGGAGAAATCTGATTAGGGCTGTGTCAGGTCAGATTCAACCTGCTGACAGATTATTTAGCGAGTGCCAAGATTGACTCTAAATGCTATCTCAGATTTTAATGGTTTTCTTGTGAAGGGCATTTGTAGATGAAATCAAATTGTATTTAAAGTTAATTGTGACTGTTGGACTAGAGACTGCGTAAGAAGAAATTATTCCCTTGAGCAGGCAGTAGTCAGAAAAGAATGATTCATCAGATGATGTTACAAGGACTATAATTGAATTCCTTGTTTTAACATAAATTATTGTATTTTAAATTGTGGTGAAATCTTAACCCCAGTAAAGCAAAAATTCCTCAAAAGAACTTTCTAGTATATTACCTTAAGATCTTTTACTAGTTGGCCCAAATCTCCATACAAGTACTTGAAAAACAAAGTAAAATATGATATATTTTCCTGGTGATGTAGATTTCTAGACATCCCTGATGCTGTTCTTTCCCTTACTTCTTCTAGTCCCTAGTCCACTGTGCATTTCTTGGATCCCAAATGTCTGCAAGCCTTTCTCTGTCCAGGAGTCAGGTGGAAACTGATTGCTTACGGTCCCTCTTAAGGCCCTCCTCCTTCTGTTCTTACTCCATACAGCACTCAGAAGGATTTTTCTTTTTTAAACTTTATTATCATTGTTATTATTTAAATTTCATATTGTGGAAAGTTTTAAATATATATCAAAGTAGAGAGATGAGTGTATCTCTCATCCAGCTCCAACAATGATCCATTCATGGCCAGGCTTGTCTCATCTACTCCTCCATCACCCACAGCCCTGTGGAGTTATTTGAAACAAATCCTAGCTTCATGTCATTTAATCAGCTAGTTTGGAATTGCCCCAAAGTGAAATTTCGCCTACTGGTTGGCCACATAAGGTGGGGAAGGTTGGTAATAAGTTCTTTGCCACCCTATTTTTCATCTTCCAGTTCTGGTTCCTCTTTTTCAGGATGTGTTCCATTTTTTGTTTGATAATTGCTATCACCAGAAAAATTAGCTTTGTGTTTCATGTTAAGCAACTTTTTTTTTTTTAAAGAGAGAGAGAATTTATTTATTTTTCGGTTTTCGGTGGATACAACATCTCCACTTTTTATCTCTATGTGGTGCTGAGGATCGAACCCCACGCCACCGCTTGAGCCACATCCCCAGCCCTCATATTAAGCAACTTTTGTACCAAATGCACTCTTTAAAAATGTATGTGAAGCCAGGCACCATGGCGCACTCCTGTAATCCCAATGTCTCGGGAGGCTGAGGCAGGAGAATCTCGAGTTCAAAGCCAGCCTCAGCAACAGTGAGGCGCTAAGCAACTCAGTAAGACCCTGTCTCTAAATAAAATACAAAAAGGCTGGGGATGTAGCTCAATGGTCAAGTACCCCTGAGTTCAATCCCAAGTACTCCCACTCCCATTAAAAAAAAAAAAAAAAGACGTATATGAAAGTTGCATGTACAAAAAATGTTTTTATGGTTAAGGAGTTTTGTGCTCACGAAGTCTTAAAAATGTTTTAAATTCCTATGGAGAGGGGCCAGGGTTTTGGCTCAGTGATAGAGCGCTTGCTGAGCATGTGTGAGGCACTGGATTCGACCCTGGCATCACATTAAAAAATAATAATAAACAAAGGTATTATGTCCATCTACAACTAAAAAAATTTTTTAAATAAATAAATAAATCCCTGTGGAGGGTGTAACATAGTAATAGAGCACAAGAAAATTCTAATTCTTTTTTAAGTTTTAAAAAAGAAAATCATAGGTGCTCATGGTAAAAATAAAATTCAAACAATACCAAATGCTATGAAATAAAGACAGATATTTTCCTTTTGTTCATTGATTGCGTTCACTTCCTTATTTCCAAAACAACTGTTATTAATATTTCTTACAGATCCTTCTAGAAAAAAAAAACACTTAAAGCCTTAATAATATGTATGTTTGACGTATTCTCTCAGTTCCCTTGAATTTAGTAGGCAAGAATTGATTTTAATGTCGAGAAGAATAACTAGCTTAGTGTTTTGCAAGGGGTTGAAGAGGAGATTATATGATACCAACTTTGATGTTTTATTGATGTCCTTGAACACTAGTTTCCTCACATTGGTTATACAACCATGTGTATACATACAGCAATCCTAGTGTCAGTTGTATTCTGCTGCCCTCCCTATCCTCCCCTCCCCTCCCCCCCTCACCTCTCTCTACCCATTCTACTGTGACACTTATCTCTCTCTTTTTTTTTTCTTCCCTTCCCCCTCACTCTTATTTTTTCATCCTAAGTTTTCAAAAGCACATTTTAGTGTGGACCAGATACATTTCAAGTGTTCCACAGGCACTTGAAATGGTAATGGCTGTTGTGTGGGACAGCATAGTGGTGTCTCTGAAGGAGGAAGAAAGGGTGTAAAATTCGGTCTTCCTTCCTTCCTTCCTTCCTTCCTTCCTTCCTTCCTTCCTTCCTTCCTTCC